AGTACAGTGCGTGATGCATTCCAAAAAAAGGATTGATCGACGGGAAATACTCATCCCTTTATCCAAATTAGAATAAGCTCTTCAATGTGTAGCTGAGAGCACTCGGTCAGTGTATGACAAAGCATTATGTAAATTCACAGATGTGGTGGAAGAATGACACCCTTCCCCCACATGTTCGTATTGAGAGCCACTCACATTTCTTTTCCAAAATGTACTCTGCTATTTACAGCGAGAACAACTGTCACTTTTAGCAATGGCGAGAACGCTGAGGCTGCTGCTAATAATCAGGCGAGTCCCTAGGTTTGTACTGCGAGGGTAGGGCTACCTTCGCTATACCGAACGCGCAGAAAAGGTGTTAGAGACTCAGAATTTGCAACCATACACCTCAAGCAGACACGCATGCCCACGGTCGCGGTTTCTGCAGTCGCTCCCCGCTGCGACCCCTCATCTCCATCGGTCGTCCTCCTCGCTTCAGCGCCCAGTGTCTCTTGAAGTACCAAATTTTGGCACAAAAAATGAGGGATTAATTTCGAAGTTTTCAATGGTTTCTCCTCTTCCTTACTCCTCAGGCAAATCAGTCTGCTCCCTTTTTGAACCTCACAACCATTTCTGCTATCGCAGAATGTGCCTAAAACGCGCCAAGAAACGGTATCACTTCCTTGGAATACGTCTGTGACCGAACGCAACCCGAATACATCTTTGTGATTACCCATCCTATCTTTCCGCTCACTTCATTTGACCAAAGATTTGACTTTTTCTTTCAAAACAGCTCAAGCATTTTCCTACATCTCTCGCCTACAAAAGCCGTGAGGATCAGCCAATACTCAAGAGTTATATAAACCATATAATATGAGAACAAACACCACTTGATGAAAAAAAAAACTCACCGTGATTACAGTTGGGTATAGTGTTGCATCCGGAAGTAGGTAAAACAATAAACGTTCCTCGCTTTCGCAAAGTTGAGCCAGCTTTAACGGGAACATCTCGCAGAATCTTCTTTTTGAATATCCTGTTCTTGTTCTTGGGATGTGCAAAAAACTTTCTTCTTCTGTGTCTTGGATTTCCTTTTTGACATGTCAGTAGAGACCTAACAGTCAGTCTATAGAATTTATGATAGTTCTTCCCACTACAAGGTAGTTATGAATAGACTAGCTATGCAGCAAACAAAAACACAAATCATAGAAATATTTATTCGAAACCGGATCATGCCAAAGCTACACGTCTATGTATTAAAATCATCCTAAATATGCACATACTAATTGGACGGAACGACCACAAAACAAACAAATACTGCACCAGTACAAAAGAACGGTCTCTATTTCAAAGACTTAGAGTTCAAACACCATTCGGAAAGCCTCTGTGAGTCCAACATCGTTGGTGTTGAAGTGAAGAAGGCCTAAAATGTTTTGTATGGTGACAGCCTGCGGTTCTGGCAAGAAATCTAGGTAGAAATTTACGTGGTCATTCAATTTGGGGAAGAAGATAGACATGTAAGAAAACAAATAGAGCCTGAACGGGCCGAGTACCACACATTTTGGAGGCAGATGTTGCGATAAATAGTACCCCGTTGGTAATGAAAATAGATGCTACGTGGTGCAATAGCGAAAAACAACTCAGGAAAACAGTCTAAAATCTGCTGCAAAAATACCCTCGCTTTCTCCAGTGATTTTCGCTTCGAAACAGATACATATGGGATGGCGTCATCAACGTGAACGTTCTGCTCTTCCCATCTGCCACACAGTGAGGGTGAAGGAGCCAATGAGTGGGCGAGCGGAGGTAAGAGGTGTCTAAGGGATGGGCAAGGCTCGCTAGGCTGCCTCCAAGCCGCCCATCGCCTACGAAAATGGCTCTCTAGGGACCCAATTTTTTTGTAACACATTTCCCTACTTAAACACACAAGGTTATCGTGCCACCTGCCTTCGAATGCAACAGCTCCGACAATGAGCCTTCTAGCTAACCAAGTGAATCATCAACAAGCATGAGCTCACCTGCGAGAAGAGCAGCCGTGATGAGGTAAACGCAAGCTCGAGCAGTCTTTGCAAGAGTATCTCCAATCACAAACGGACGAGCGTAGTCATTGACGACTCCTTGCACTCCCCTAAAGCGTCCACATTCAACGTAAACAAGAAAAAATGTGTAAGGAGAAGAATAAAGAAGCTACAGCTAGATCAGCAATGAGAAGAATAAAACGATAGAATAAAACAATTGCAAAATAATCTGATGATCTCAGTACCAATGGACGTGGAGGGTGAGCGCAACGGTCAGCACTGCGTCCATCACAGGACCATGAATGAAGTAGGCAGCAGGAAACAGTGGCACCATTGCTGCAGCGAAATAGCGTTCGAGCTAAAATCAAAAGTAGTAACGTGAAAAAAATATAGAAATACAGGTGAAAAGCTGTATCCGCCCACTTCATTAGCAATCACGTGATCTTCTCATATTAAAGGAAAGGCCTAAAAGTTTGGAACTGAACTTAATGCAGAGCTAGCAGAAAAAGTAAAGAATAAAGGGGAAAATGGAGGATGGTGCTGGATTAATTGATCAATACCACACCAACGGTAAGTTCCTCCGAAAACTGTGATTCGCGAGGTGTGTAAGAAGGTGTAAACTTTTCGATGGAAGCCGGTTTACGCGGAAGTTCTAGTTATCAAGCTTTTGAACCCATCTTCATTACGCCATTTCTGTTTTTTTTTTCGTTAAAATTAACGCTACACTCATTTAAGACTGGAAACATCTTCTGAAAATACTGCACAATGCCGAAACAGATTTTACTGCTGCAGTACCCATAAGAACTCCCGGCACTATTCAACTATTACAACCCCAAAATCTCAAAATTTTATTTTTCGTCGAAACTTCGCCTATAGGGGTAATTCGATGCCCTGATTACGAAAATGACATTCATTTTTGACGCTGGCGCCATTTGGCGCCAATTTGGCGCCATTTGGCGCCAGGGCTGTTTTCACCAAATTCGCTGTAAACTTGTATATAGGGGTTATTTGGGGTCCTGATCACGAATACATTCATTTTTCCCGCTAGCGCCAGTGGGCGCCTGTTTTCCGCTCGTCTGCGCCCTCTCACTGATCAGCTCGCGATCAGGGACTAAGCCTTTGAGGAGGGAGTGCTCCGAAGTGAATAACACTTATCCTGTGATCTTATACGCTTTAACGTTTGCCACATGTTGACTGGTTCACCCACCCCGGAGTCCTCCCTCCTTCTAGGCTTAGTCCTAGGTATTATGTACAAGTGAGAGGGCCCAGGAAAATGGAAAATGTGCGTTGAACGGTGGAAATGCTAAAAACGAATGACATATCCGTAATCAGGACCCTAAATAACCCCTATGTGCAAGTTTACAGCGAATTTGGTGAAAACAGCCCTTGGCGCCAAATGGCGCCAATTGGCGCCAGATGGCGCCAACGCCAAAAATGAATGTCATTTTCGTGAATCAGGGCATCGAATAACCCCTATAGGCGAAGTTTCGACGAAAAATAAAATTTTGAGATTTTGGGGTTGTAATAGTTGAATAGTGCTGAAATTCCGAAGAGTTATTTTACACTATTTATTGCATTCGTCGTTCTAAGACAATTTCATAAAAATCGCTAGCGACATGTAGTGACGTTATATACAGCTATTAACAAAATACTTTAATATTCCTGAGTGACGACGGCGGTGCAAAAATAGAGAAATTGATGTGTTTAAACTCACCTTGAAATGAAGAGAGTGATCATGAGTTTTGTTCGCACCATCGTCTAGAGTGCTCGGGAGTGCTCGAACAGCAGTGGTACTAACCGGAGTACAGAGACGAGGCATTTGTCGAGCAGCCAACAGCGCTCTCTGGGCGCGAACGACATGGCGCAAAGTGATCGACATCGCTGAAAATATTCGTGAAATTCAAATCCCTGAAATAATGGTCAAAACGACGAAGAAAGTCACATACTTAATAAAAGTCGCTATACTGTTTCATACACGTGTCAAAACCCAATTCGCGTTCGTTGCGGGTAAAGAAAACCTATCCAATCGACTACTGGGAAGGGATGCGCTACTGATGGTGGGAATTTCAGGAGCTGTTCGTCGGAGAAACTTCAACAATTAAGTATGTCTAGCGGAAGACAACAATCTCTAGCCCACAAAAAATTTGTTGGTGAAGTGCGGACCGCTCGTATTTGAAGGTTTTAGGAGTAATTTGCCGATGTAGCGATCGACTGGACTTCAAGGAAGCGATCACGCTGGCTTCGAGGTGGAGCTACAAATATGCACCATCAACCGAAGGACTCGGAATAGGAGTTGAGCCGGGACGAGCGTAACCCATGGAAGATACGATACGATAAAATATGATACGGCTGCTTGGACAGTACACTCCAGAATGGAAAATGGTACCGTTTCAAGTACGTTACCATTATAACCCTTCCACGTCCGATACGTACCTAGGTGTTGCTGCATACCGGAAGTGGGTTGCGGCGCCCTAATACGCAACTGATAAGGCGCCCTGCCCCTGAAGTATGAACTATCGGCTCACTGGGAAGGTCTCCTACCCAATTCACCATGTAAGCTTCTCAATCGTCCCCACAGGGTTTATCGCGACCACTTCCCTTGACCGGTTGAGCTGATTAAGCACCACAGAAAGTATTGGTCTTGAATTACACTGGACGCGGCTTAACCATGTCTGGTCACAAGAAAGATTTAATACTTTAGGTAGAGTTCACGCTACAAACAATAACAGCACTAGAGCTTAGCGAAAACATGTTAAAGACTTAGAATTGCCACAAGAACCAACTCGCGCTGGACGCAACCACGGCGGTTCTCCTTGAAATGTGTGGGAAAAGATTACGAACTAAAATCATTTCAGGAAAGATTATTGTAGAAATTATTTGGAAATTTGTGAGGAATAGGTAACAGTCAGCCGTTCAGAAAGAACAGAAATTCTGTTCTGACTTGTTCGTAAAACAGAAGTGCACGCGTCTGTCACTCATCGATCGGTTCTCACTGGGGCGCGCAGACACACACGTCTTTCGAAAGCCTTCGCTGAAAGTGCAGCACCACAACGGCAGGACTACGTCTGGCTCGTAGGCAGCAATCTAGTTTCAACATCATCTACGGACACGCTAAAAAATCTTCGGGGAAATGAGAAAAAAAAGGAAATCTTCGAGGGAAAATCGCGAGGAAAACATTTCGGCCACCCTTGGTAACAATTTACAAGCACCTTGATTTATTATACGCAGTTTTGCCTCCTAGCTACCGCATTTTTCAAGCGTATGCTCTACGCCCTCCTCTTTGCTTATTTAGGCCGATGTCAGGACAATGCCTCGTGGAGGAAATGCGTGAGTAAAAAAGGGTATCTGCGCTACTGCAAGATATGGGGTCATCCTTGAAAAAAAGCCGAGGAGGGGGGGGGTTGGTTGATCGATTGATGATTTGATGGAGGTTCAGCAAAATGAAAATATGAAACCTCGAGTATGCCTCTCCGCCCGAGGCTTACTACCCATTTTAGGTAGCTTTACGCGGTCTCGATTTTTCCTCAATGGTCCTGCCGCGATGGCTAGAGCACAGACCTTGTAGAGGAGAAGTACCCGCGAAAGAGCGCAGAGGCGGTTTGAAGGGTTCAAGTAGTCCGTCTACCCTACGTACTGGAGCGGATAGGGGTCCTGCTCAATGTTTTAACAGATCAAGTTTCAGTGGTGAGTGGCGCTTATCAACGGTGTGATAAGGCGCCGAAATCACTTTCCGGATAGCAAAAACAAAGCCGTATCGATGTGGAAGGGATTGCAGTGGCAGCATACTTGATATGATACCGTTATCGTTATCGTCCCGTTTTCATTCTGGAGTGCACCTCTTATCAAGCACGCCGCACCTTCTTATCTCATCGTATCATATCTTCCATGGGCTTACACTCGTCCAACAATTACTGCCTCACACCTTATCGATTGATAACGCGAGGATAGCTAATCCAAGCCAGCGTGATCGCTCCCTTCAGATGCACTGTCACCAGGATGTCTCACTCATCTGCAATAGCGCCAGCATATCTCATAGCGTAGCATTAGAGGGCCTCATCGCAGCCGCGACATCATACAATATGAGGTAAATAAATATCGACAAAATATCCTGAAAACTGCTCTCTAAAACGCCCGCCCCCCCCCGCCCCTACCCCCTCCATGAGCGAAGTAAGGTCGTATCTATTGCCCTTACGATTAGCGTCTTCCAAATCCTTAAGGTAGAAGAGAATGAGCATTGCCGCGAGTGAAGAAAGCCAATTTTAATTGCTTCAGTTTTATCTCCGACCAAGTCATGGTGACCGCATTCCTATGGATCGTGACTCAAAATTTGCAGGGCACGTAACACCCCGTACTTCGAGAAACGGTCGTGATCCCGTAATCCTAATGCATGCGCGGTTTCAAGGGTCGAGTTGCATCATGTTCGCCTGGCAAAACCTTCTGAAGTCGTTTGTGCAAATAGCTAGAGGTTGCTTCCTAGTTGAGAGCGCTGCATACTCTGCGATTGGGAAAAGTTGAGAAAAGCAGGCCCCTTTCAGTAATAAAGGTGGAGGAGAGAAGAGACTTAACACCTTCCTCCAGTGAATGGCTCATTTCTAAGCACTATCGTGTCGACATTCAAGCCTGTGCATATGACAAATCGATGAATGGTGCATGTATTGATTAAAATTGCACTCGCAACGGTTTCATTTTCTGTCACCGCTGAAGTGCAAACCAACGTTTTTATCGCCAAAGCAAAAATGCGAAAAAGTACGGTCGGGAGTCATCAGTGGACGCCGAGGTTTCCCAGCAGCGGACTAGCACGGATATATCCCCTAGTCTGTAGTGGGATTAGTCTAGTCTTCTCAGATGCCCGACGCGGAGAATCGACAGCAGTGACCGTTTCGCATGCTCGCGTCATAGGACCCACTGAAAAATGATGGGTCCTGTGACGAAACCGGGGATATATCCCCAACCTCGGGGAAGTATCGCGTCCTCGTGCCCTCGTTGAGGCTTGCTGCACCCGGCCTCGGGGAAAATGGCTAGCCGTGCATTGGTAAGCCAATTAAATTAAGAAGCGTGTTCTCAAAAAAAAGCGGTGCCCAATGAAAAGTCTTATAATTGGTTTGGGAGAAAGCCTAGACAGCAGGAAACACATGAAGGCGAAAGCCCGTCACAATGGGTTGAGAGATGTTCATAGACCGGGGAAAGCGGACACTGGTTGGGCGAAGGAGGGAAGGTCAAAAGCTATCAGGTGGGGGATGCAACGTGGTGGGCGAAGCCTAATTTGAGATCGCAGATGGTCCAAAGACAGCACAGACACTTAGAAGTGTAGCATACATATAGCTAAAAAGGGCAGCAGGAAATACTCGTGGCGCATCTGGCTAAATTTGGGGATATTCGAATCTTTTAGCCGAATATCCTAATACCCCAATCTTTCCCTACTACATATTATCCAACAATTTCAGTCGACACGCACCTGATCCTTTCAGCTGGATATTTTAACCTTCTGTCCTAATTTCCCAATCAGTTTATATCCCAAACCTTCTAAGCTCCCAAATAGTGGAATATGAGCGGGGCCTACACAGCGTAGCAAATGGATCAGCATGCAATCGATTCCGTGAGATATCTAAAAATTGATTCGTACATTCTCTTTTCAACGGGATTGTCGAAATTGCTCAAATCGCGAACTGCAATACACCACCTGACAACGCCCCTTCAACAACATGGCTCCTAAGTAGCGTAGAAAAATTTTCAAGTTGCTCGTTTAACCGTCAGCCCCACCAATTAGCAACAACTGCGGAAAGAATGGCCGATTTGGCCAGTACGTGAATACGCAATGCGAGAATGAAAACAAAAAGGCTTCCTTCACAAATCCTGAGACATTTGGTAGGAAGGAGAGGAGTAAGGCCCGCAGGCCCTGTTCAGAGATGTCCGCCGGCGCGAAAAAACGCACAGGCGAAAATCTCCGCCAAGATTTAGATACGCATCGACTGAGAAATTGTGAAACGCGTAAGCGAAACGTCCGGAGCAGGCGAATTTCAGTCAAGAGTTTGATATGTATCGACTGTGAGAAACGCACAGGCGGAAAATCGCGTGAGCGAAGCGTTCGTAAGTCGATGCGTATGATACTCATTTTCGTCGATCCTCCCACTTCACGATTCGCCTGTGCGTCTTCGTTCAGTCGATACATATTTCACATTGTTTCGCCTATGCGTTTTTTCGCGCAAGCGGACATCTCTGAACAGGGCCTTAAGGGGCAAGAATGCATCAAACACGGTATCAAGACCGATCCGAGCCCAGCTGGATCAGGCTTGCCTGGACGAATATGGAATATGAGGATGCTTTCATGGATTGCCCTCCGATCGTAACGACCGCACAACATAGGATACGTGTCGATCGTCTGGCGTGTTAGATAGCCGAACGATGGATATGTATCTAATATAACGCCATCTTTATAAGTGGACAACCGACTATGAAATTACGCATGTGAGAAGTGAGAAGATGCACTTTCTATCCGCAATGGTGCGTCATATCAAAATACAGATTACGGCCACTATGCTTCAAATGCCGCGAATTCTGCGCAGTTTCAAACAAGGCTGCGACTGAAGCTGATTCTCGGCTTGACCTTTGAGTCTGTTTTAAATGGCGGTTCGCTATTGGTTTTTTCGATGCAAGAACGTTTAGGCACACTCATGGTCAGAGGCGGACCTGCGATTTCTGAAACGAATGTTTCGAAAAGCGAAGGAGTCGCTTTTGTCCTAGCTTCCCTTATCCGGATGTGATAGTTCGAGCGGTCTGCTCCATTTTCTTTGCAGTTTGGATGGGGGAAGTCCTGGGGTTCGTGAATCATCTGGCTTCCTCTTTTACATCCATCCGGTGCTTCCTTTCCCTGGGCTCGTTCTAGGCGATGCGCATAGCGCTTTCACAGTTGGTCGTCCGATCGTAACGATCAGTTGATGGTGCTAACTTAGTTGGGGGAACCACGCGGCGGCGCGGCGCTTTGCTCGCCTGGCGCTCTCTCGAGCGAGATAGTGTGAACTCGAACATTCCAGCTTTTCACGCATGTCAAGTGACTGCCCTCACCCCCCCCCCCCCCTAGACTGCCTACAGTCCCCCTGGCTCACGGATTTCCCGAAGTACGCAAAGATGCCAGGCGAGCAAAGCGCCGCGCGTCACGCGCGTGGTCCCCCCCCAACTAAGTTAGCACCCAGTTGATTCGTACCTGATGCTGCGCGCTCGTTAACAATCGTTACGGTTTGACGACCTACTACGATAGCAACCGCGGTGGTGTATCCCATGCCTCCCTTGTCGGAATAGAGCCCCATCTTTCCCACTAATGCGAAATCGTTCAAATTTCGTTCCTCTAAACGTTCATCTCTATCGGTAAGGTCAAGGTAATGCCGTCGAGGGGGAAGGTAAAGAAGGGAGTTGTAACATTTGATGGGACCCGTGGTGATTGTCGCATTGAATGTGCCTGGCAGTGTTGCTCAGCACTATTTGAATTATCACAACCTCAAAACCTCGCAAAAAATTCGTTGAAACTTAGCCTGGGTGCTTATTAAGTACTACACTGCAGCCTTGTCGTAGTACGGTACGCGAACTTCCAACTTTTTCGCAAGAGTATGGTGTTTTAGTATATCGTTTGTTCATTGAAAATTCTTTTGTTTTTCACGGCGTCATTTCTTGTGATTGTGCCCAAAATGAATAATGATCTCGAAAAGGTGATGAACACCGCTGTCCGAATTGAACCGTTCCATTCCCGCTTTTGCCACCCCTCATCACCAAGGCTGTATCTGATTTCAAGACCATCATCACACTCCGACTCCACACAACTTTTCGCCGAGAGCAATGCTGGGTCATTTTATCCTTCTGCTACACTTGACCTTTTTTCACCAAAGTTCGTATAAAGCTGTCAAAGCCGTAAACCCGCTCCCGGAAATTACACCCTCTTCAATTAAAAAAAACGACCGCTCTTTTCGACTATTTCACCTTAGTCAACCCCGATTATCCTCATCCTAAAAATCATACAGTCGATATCCGAAAGTTGGGGTGGGTGTGTCACCGGAAGTGACGTGCACTTGATAGAAGTGCGTGGATAAGCTGTTGCCAGCATGCTTTGCTGATAGCCAGCGATGTATGTTGGAAGCAGCTTATCCACATAGTTTCTATCAAGTGCACGTCACTTCCGGTGACACGCCCACCCCAACTCACCGATATCGAGTATACATACCACCCGTCTGGATTGGTCGTACGGACGGTTCATTTCATCGTTGCTACTTTTCATCTTTATACATTACCAAAATATCGGTTCCCGCTGATTTTTCTTTTTTTTTCAGAATCAGAACAATTCCTGGATGTTTCATGCCTGATATCCAAGGCAAGCGTAGATCAACTGGCCTGTCGTTGTACGACGATGACGATGAAACGCCACCACCGAAAAAGGCAGCAGGTTCGAGCTTTCTTCGTGTCTGTTCTTAAGTATGAGTGGGAACTTTTTCTGAGCGCTCCGGCGCATGCGAGTTGATGTAAGTTGATGTAACAGTTACTGTACACTGGCTTTCCGATGTGATCGGAAAAGTTCTCTATGCGCAAAGCCCAAAATTTGCTGGCATAAATATTTTCACGCATACTTACAACTCGCGAACTCGAATCCTGACATGTTCAGAAGGAAAATGTCATACACTGCGTTGCAAAAATATAAATCCACCTGGAAAGTTCTTGAAAATTCGCATGATAGGGTGTTTCTGAAAAAGCCTTTGAAAGAAAAATGTGCTCAATATAAATATAATTTCGAGTGTAAACACCAACTTCCATTTCGAAAACACGAAAATTTTTATTTTCATTTTTCAGAAAAGGGCCACTTTGCCGATTGTGCAAAAATATAAATCCACCCCATGTTTCTCGGTTGAACTTCATTGTTATTTGGCGTAACTGTCAGGTTGTTTCCACTTCCTCTTTCTTAGGTGATGACGGAAGTAACACCGCTGTCGGGCTCAGAAAAAAAGGCAAAATCTACAAAATAGTGGGGAGATTTGCCGTGCAGTCAAATCGCGCGTGATTTGAGCCCTGCTTAACGTGGTTGTTGCGCATTTCGTCAGGACTCCTGCAGCATGTGGAACCCAGAAGAGAGCACTGAACCCTTTTCTTCGCGTTTCAGTTGCGATGACCGTAGTGTTATGGGAAAAGCAGCCGATTCTCCCAAGGGGTGCTCAGGAACTCAACCTTCAAAAAAACCTAATTTCTTGAAAGTCACCGT